GAGAAATATTGAAATTCACTAGATAATAAAAAATTGAAATATAATTATTCAAAAAATGGCTGTAGGATTTTCATCTCCTTAACACATATTTAAAGCGTCAAAATGAAACTCTAATTCAGTAGACAAATTCGAATACGACTGGAAACTACAAAAACGAGGAAAATAGTCAAATACTATTAAATTGACTCAAAATAGAAAAACACTAAAAATGACCTCTAAAGATGGAATTTCACCTCGGTAAAACTGTAGAGAACTAAAAAAACGTTGCTAGATTATACTTTGCCGACACCTACACTGAAAGTTATGTGCATTTTCGCGAAAAAACAAATCAAAGGTCAATGTTTCTAGAGGGATGTGTCTATGTAGAGCGTATTACTTAGTAATGTTGTTGGGACAGGTGCGGAGCTTTTCACAAGCATTGCCCAATGGAATTTTCCTTGCTTAATTTGCTTTTTAGAAATAATTAAATGGTAATTAGCACGTAACGTCTCCACCTTTCACCATTATTATGGAATTAGTAATGATGGTTTGTGATTAATAATTCAAGCTATTAATAATTTTGAACGTTCAAAGTGAAAATGTCCTTACCTTTCTTATTTGACATTTTTACCCTTCTTTCCACATTTCATTGCGCAAAAGGATCCCTTTTATTCATTTTTTCAATTAAAAATTGTGAAATGAAGGAAATACTCTTCCCATTAAATATGAGGGTATATTTATTATTTCACGATTTTTTATTGAGAAATTGGATAAAAATGATGGTTTGCACAATCAAATATGTAATTAAGGGTGAAAATGCCAAGAAAATGAAATGTATTGACGTTTTTCGCAATAACAGTGAAAGATAAATGCATTATGTACTAATTACTCATTTAATAATTCATTGGTGATTGATTTGCGCTTTTTAAAAAATTTATGACTATGATTGCAATTAGTTTTTTCTTTTTCTTTTTATTTTATTTAAAGAGAATGTTATATTCGTCATTTCATAATTTTTAATTGAGAAAATAGGTGAAAATGACTTTTTGAGCAATGAAAGGTGAAAATAATAATGAAAATGCCAAAAAATGAAAGCTATGGACGTTTTTCACAATAACAATAAAAAATGAGGACGTTATATGCTAATTACCCAATAAACATTTTTCAAAAGGTTGTCAAAAGGTTAAGAACACGAATTCTACAAATGAACGGTTGAAGACATGGCTAGCTAACACACTTATCAATGGTTGGGGACCTCTATAGGAATTTTCCTAAATCAAATGGATCATGGGCCGCCTCACATCACCTACTTTCATTAAAGGTCGAGGGTCACTTTCCGACGGCATACATCATGGGCCTAAAATCAAGGCAAAAGACTAGCAGCTTAGTGGGTTTCACTAGTCCAAGTGGCTCTTCTAACCTTCTTGAAAAAATTTCGGACTGAGTCAAGAAAAAGGAAAATGAGCCTAAAGACTTGGACAACTCAAATCCATTCATGGTGTAAAGCAATAAACAATTATGTTTTTCCAAACTTGAAGCTGTAAAGGTAGAGAGCATTATCCTCTGGATGTTGAGGTTTCAAATTGATAGAATTATTAAATAAATTGAACTCTTTAAATCAAATACATTAACATTAGTCAATCTTAAGACCATGCTACAAACATAGTAACTTTTTGCCGAATTTTAGTTGTTGTTTGGGCACTCATCGAATGAATGACACATCATCACGAGATGAATCAATAACAATGTCAAATGTCATATTCGGAAGTCAGACAAATTGTCGCCTGGTAGATGCAAAAGCAAGGACTTCCAGATAAACAAACAACAAAAAAAATATTATGGGACTCTATTATTTGCCCTTCGAGAAGAAAAAGTTAACGTGCATAACTTGTGCCATAATTACACATTTCCGTAGGGGTCAGGATAATGACTTAAAATGTAGAGTTCAAACAGTCGATATAAGAGGTCCTAAACTTATGTTACAAACAACGACAAAAATATTATGGGACTTTATTATTTGCCCGTCTAGAAGAAGAAGTTAACGTTAAATGTAGAGCTCGAACAGTCGGTATAAGAGGTCCTAAACTTGTGTTAACTATTAACTTTTTTGTTTTGTGATGAGTCGATCCAATGTAAGTTTTTACTTTTATTTACGTAGTTAGATAATACTTGCCTATAATGAAAAGTTGATTTTGTGAGCTTAAGTCTTGAGATTAAAGAATGTTGATACGATATGTGCTATCATGTTTTCATCTTATTCTACATGAGATTGCCTTTCATCCACTCTGAGCACATAGCCTCAAACGAATTATTACTTGTTGACTTTGGAGAAGTTTGTGTGGGTTAAGTAGCTTCTAAGCACCTTCACCGTCTCGCAGCCTCCCCCAGTTGACGATGAAAGATAAGTGAGCCCCTGTTTGAACCATATTAAAATTTTCATTCTCATTATTTTATTTATTTTCAATCACACATTATTCAATAAAATAATATTTTCCGTTACATCAATCATTTTCCTTCTTTTTCAACCACACATTCTACATCAATCTACTATTTCAAAATAAATTCTTCCAAAATAATGTGACTCAAACACACCCTAAATGTATAAAAATATTTTGTCAAAAGGATTTGATAAAAAAACTTAACATAATAAACGATTAGATGAAAAAGCTGACTATATTTTAAACTGTCAAATAATAAAATGACACGTGACATTATGTCAACCTTAATGTTCATGTAACGCGATCAAGTTTGGCCCACCATCAACTGCTACAAAATATACAAATGGGCTCTTCATGAAAATTCGTGAAAAGTATAGGTGGCTAGATGAGTGCAAGATAACACTATATGAGTGCTGGATAACATCACATGTCATTATTAATTTTATCGTCTAACAATCACATCGCACGCTTACAAAAATTAAAGCCCTCATTATTGAAATTACAAAACAGACCCATTATTTTTTATAATGTCATATAGTGATTTGAGTCAGACCCCTACAACAATTAAAACCTTGCATATGGGACCGTTCAAAGTTTTATTTGCGCGGTCTTAATAAACAACAATATCCCATGTGACTTTCTTAATTTTTTTGAATAAAAAATTAATAGAAATAAAACTTCTAAACTATACCATTTATGTGAAATTTTCATAATATATAAGAAAATTATGATTACTTTTCGACGATACCCTTATAATTCTCTAAGTTATAATTGATTCATCAAGATTATTAGACATGTCAAGAGAAGAAAAGTAGATTGAAGTATTGTTTATTTAGAGCATGTTTGACTAAGCTTAAAATCTAATTAAAATTGAAAATATAGTTGTTATTGGGTTCCACTCGTCTAATAAAAGTCAACAATAACAGCTAATTTGTCAATTTTCATCCAATTTCAATTTTCTATAATACATAGTTATCTAATTGTCTCAAACGAGTCAATCAGGCCATCGGGTCATTGGTTCCTATAGGTCTTGATCGGTTCACATGATCATTGGTCCAACAATAGGATTTGGCCTGCCCATAAAGATGATGAGTCGTGCTATTTGTAACGAAAATGGTTGACATACAAATTGATCGATACTCATAATGGGGGCCCCACTTTTTCTTGAAATTTTTTAATCACGCGAGACCCGTCGCATGTGAGAGGTTGTCAAATTCGTTGTCATCCATTTTCGGTACAAATGGAAAAACCCCTAATTCAATGATTTTCAGGCCAATTCGACTAGACCAACTAATTTTAATAGCTGAGAAAAATTCTATTTACTAAGTCATGACTAACAATCAAATTTTATTGTTAAATGTATAACATTATACACCTTACTGATTTACTAAACTTAAATAAACATATACTAAGGCCCTATTTGAACCACTTTATTTGTAGAATGAGAATGAAAAATATAGTCGTTATTGGGGCCCACACAAGAGATAAAAATTTTGAATTTAAATGTTTATGTGATGGATAACGATTATATTTTTCATTTTAATGAGATAAAAAGGTGAAGAGCTAAAGGTGAACTTTGATACTAAAAAAGGGCGAGTAGGGTCTAACCGCTGTTAGGTTCTCTCATAAATTTACTTAAAGGTGGCCCAACTTGCACTTTTTTTGAAAATCAAGCATCATTCTATTGGTGCACTTTCTCTTTTTTATTTGGCAACTTGATTTATCATGAACAATAAACTGTATCTTTTGGGGGAAATACCACTTGTACAACCAAGTTGACAACCTTTCATAGTGGTGAGTCTCATCGTGTTTAAAAAAAATAAAAAATTACCCACCCACCCATGCCCCACTAACCCATTTCATGTGTGAGTGATTGTCAACCTTAATTATACAAGTAGCTTGGTTCATATTTTGGCCGCACAAACGTACCTGTATTCCAAAGCACAAGAAAAATAAAGCATTTCTTTTCGTATTAACAAAAATCGTATTATTAGAAAGACAAAATTATGGAGAATAGCTTGCTAATTCAGACCGTTACCTGCATGGTAGCCATATTTTTGGAAAAATATTGAATAGTGATTTTTTAAAGAATGTACACTTAAAATGTAGGAAATTTTTTTAAAGTTATGTGTATAATATTTTATTATATGAATATTTGATTAAAATTGAGTGTGTAGAAATAAAAAAGAATGTTGAAAGAACGCACCACAAACAGAGCCGCCCAAAAATAAAGACCCGACGGTAAAGATAAAAAATTAGACGAAAATACGAGGAAACAGCTTTGCCAACTCAACCCGTCTCTTTCTCTTCATCACCCTAAATCAAAGAAGATCGTAACACCAATTTCTCCATTTCCATCTTTCTTCTATGAATTCCATTAGAGTATAGAATTCAAACGAACTTAAATTCATCACTAGAGCTAAATTTTCTCACTGAAATAGACAGATATACAAATCGTGCTATAGTATACTACTGGAATTATACATATAGTATAATTCAAGAAGGGGATTTAATGAATGAAAATAAAGCAGAAACTGGTTTTTGGAATCTGGGTTTGGGTGATAATTTGTTTGGATCGTGGGAATGATATATCGGAAAATACGGAGTAGTTTTGTGCCATGGAACTTGCTTTTCCGGTGTACCCTTCTTCTTCTCTTCTTCTCCGGTTTCACTTTATCAACTCTCCGGCTGTTCTTCAGAGGTAATATCTTGTGCTAAAATCTTGGAGAAATACTTTTTGGGTTGTTCAATCAAAATTTCTTTGCTTTAAATTTATTGCACTCTGATTATTTGGTCAATTTGTATTAAAAGATATTTGTTCTTTGGATCGGAGCAGATGGGTTTCATCCACGATTAGTGTCGACATGGTGGACGCCGCCGATGGAAGCGATCGCCGCCAAGTCACCTTCAACTCCGACCATCTCAATTCAAGAAACCGTTATTTTTCCAGACCAGGCTTTGGTTTTCCTTAAATACCCTTCATCCACTCGCTTATTTTCCAAAGATGACATAGACTGTATATACTTGATCCCAAACTCATCCAAGCCCCAGCTCAAGCTCTCTCCGGTATCAATCGACGGTCAATATTCCGATCACCAGACTGTACGGTGCCCGCGTCAGCCACATGGTACGACCGCGTCGTTAGCGGTTAAATCCAACGGTAACCTCCTGCATGGGTCCACCACACTTATGTGGGACTCATTGGCTTATGAAGCTATAATTGATCGTGATAACACCACTGTTGTTTTTGTTAAGGGGCTTAATCTACGGTCGGGAAGAGTTTCTGATCCCTCTAAATTCAAGTGCATGTACGGCTGGGATTTTAGGAAACCAAAATTTGTTTTGTCGTCCGAGGTTGTATCAGTTGCTCAGGAAATTGTGAGATGCAAAACCCCTTTGAGCATATTGAATAGCCCACAAAGATTTAATACTAGCATTAAGGCTTCAGTTAGGGTGGTTGGTAGACAGACTCTCAAGTCTATTGCTCAGCTGAAAGTTCGATTATCGGACCCTATACACTCGTCCCAGAAACAGCACGAGATGTGCATATGTACGATGTTGAGGAATCAAGCTAGGTTTTTGCCTGAATGGATCATGTATCATTCTCGAATAGGGGTCCAACGTTGGTTTATATATGATAACAATAGTGATGATGATATCGAAGATGTGGTTGAGTCCTTAGTGGGTGCAAATTATAATGTTACTCGGCATGTGTGGCCTTGGATCAAGACTCAAGAGGCAGGGTTCTCTCATTGTGCATTACTCGCTAGGAATTCATGTGAGTGGGTTGGATTCATTGATGTTGATGAGTTCTTTCACTTGCCTTCAGGATTGTCATTATACGATGTTGTTAGGAATCAGTCTAGGCCTAGTGAGGTAGCTGAATTACGAGTATCGTGCCATAGTTTTGGCCCCTCGGGCCTTAAAAATGTTCCAGTGAGAGGCGTGACTGTAGGTTACACATGCCGATTGGCTGGCAGGGAGAGGCACAAGAGTATAACGAGACCTGAGGCTCTGAATTCTTCTTTGATCAATGTGGTGCACCACTTTCACTTGCAGGCTGGGTTTCAGTATGCCAATATGGATCGAAAAGTGCTGGTGATAAATCACTACAAGTACCAAGTGTGGGAAGTTTTCAAAGAGAAATTCTATAGGAGGGTGGCTACCTATGTGTCCGATTGGCAGCAAGAACAAAATGTTGGTTCCAAGGATCGAACACCGGGTTTAGGAACAAAAGCGGTGGAACCAGCCGATTGGTCGACCAGATTTTGCGAGGTTGAGGATTCAGGCTTAAGGGATCGTGTGTTGAAGACATTCATTGACCCGAAAACCGGTCGATTGCTATGGCAGGATCTGCCCAATGAGCAGAAGAGATAGAACTGTGCTGCTGTGAATTTGGCTGAGACTGTCTTCTTTTCCTTTGTTTCTTTGGCATTTTTATTTTTTTGGGTTTTTCTGTACTTCCACTAACCATGTACTGTAATTGTATAGAAGTAGAACTATTACGTACTCATATGTTGTACATATATATAATAAAAGACAATCCAGAAAGAAATTAAAGATTCGAAGAAATCATGATCTCTAGCAATTTCCGCACGTTCGTGTTCAACTTCAATACATGTTGATGGTCATTGTCCTATGAAACTGATTAGCACCAAACGGAAACTTAATGGTGCGCATACAATTGACAAATTTTATCACGTATTTCGTCCGCTTATGTCAAAAATCTCTCATATGTACACAGTTTAAAAGTCCACATTTCTTGTTAAGTACCAAATTCGTTACTTGGTGCAGGAGGGAACATTTTGAGTGACAAAAGAACTCCTGTACAGGGTTATTGTCTCCAAATCCGTCCGCTCGACTATATGGTGCATGTCTAGTGATAAGGATTAAAATTAGATTTTCATTAAATTTAAATTTTGATAGAAGTTGATGAGATGTGTGGTTGAAAAGTTGTGAAACTTATAAAATATGTGGTTCAAATGAATTGTTGACTTTGATTTGAATTAAAATTTGGATTTTAATAGGTACCAACCAGGGGCTAAATAGATTAGTAAAATAAGAAAAAAGATAATGTAAAACTAATATCTCTAAAAACTTTGGCGTTATTTAGCCCCTGTTTGGCATTGATTCAAATCAGATTTTAATCGAACTCAAAATCAAACAATCAATACTAACCACATATTTCAATGGGAGATAAGTTTAGAGCCCACTACAACATCTTGTGGACACAGGGGAAGTAAAATTGATTGACTATAAGAGTATATTTCTATTGGCCACACTCCACAGGATAAAAGAAGTTACAATCTTGTCTATTGTGCAGCTTTTGTAAAAGTTGTTTACGTCAAGGTGCTGGTCGAACGGTGAAACGATGCCCCAAGTGTAAACAAAAGATCAGGTATGTATAATATTTAAGCTTGGCAAATTAGCCGGTTATACAGTGTGAATTCATCTTAGACTTAATGTGCGTTAATCGACTTTTATAATCTGTCTTTTGGCAGCAATTGGTTACACGGTGAACGTTGTACTTTGGAACAATATTCAGCTGATATTTCCCGAAGAGGTTAAAGCAAGGAAAGAAGCTGTCGCTGCTCGTAAAATTTCAATAGGAATTAGTTTTCATGGCGTGATAAACCAAAATTTCAGGATCTTCCGCCCATTTGTCCCGCTTATTAAACCCACAACGATGTAGAGAGAACACGCGGTGGTAATTTTAGACACGCAGAACCTAGTTGCTGAGACAGGATAAAGATGCTGCATTGACTTTAAGATTGCAGAGAAGAATACATGGACAGTCTTAAACAGGGGCTGAGCCAAGAAATTCATTCAGTGCGAGCACAATTTAATCGACGTCGAACTTTGAGTTTTGGATCATGAGTTTAATGATGATAAAAATATAAAACAATATTACGACACTACTAAAAATGACATAGTTTATAAATTACACTTGTTACTTGTTTTGACTGCTTGTAGAATATGCACTTCTTACTACTTTTGACTGCTTGTAGAAAACTGATTGAATTTGTTGCTCTTGATTCATCAAAACTTCACACTTAATACGAACTTGATTATGTGCGCTATCATGAAGTCCAACATGAGTATGCAGTCTCCTTGTCTATCTTTTCAAAATGTAAAACCTTCACCAACAAAATAGTCACCTCCCCCTTGCTTTTCAAAACTTGTTTGAAAATATAACAATACAAACAATAAGCAATATGTTTTTCTATACTATCCTCCAACCAAATATCAAACTCTTTAAACCAAAAGGGATTGAATCATTTAGCTTTTACTCTAAATTGTCGTTTTGAAAAATTATAATCTTGGGACTGACAATGACCCTTAACATATATGCTCCTCAAACTTGTTCTCAAATATTAACATTGTAATCCAAAATGGGTATCCATAAACCAGGATCAGTTGGAAGTTCAGCGACATCAAATTCATTTGATATCTGAATTTAAACATTATAGCTATTAAGAATATTTTCAAGTTAAGCCTAAATAAAGTAATTAAAAGCAAAATAAAATTACCCAAAGCAAAAGCAAGTTAAGTCAAAATCAAGTATCAAGTAAATTAAGTCAAATACTCTCAATTAAGTTCACCAACCTTTAACGATAAATGATCTTATCTCACGCCCTCAGCAATTCACAATATCCAATTATTGGGAGCAATTCAGAATAACAAAATCACAAATAGTGGAAGCAAAAACAGAGCAATTCACATAGTAATACTGGAATTAATTCACATTGCAATTCAGAGAGTAAACAACTCATAGAATGCTTTCATAGAGGCAGCAATACTGGAACTGGAAGCAAAAGTAATTCAAGAGCAATGAGTAGGCTTCTGGCTCGAGGGCTTCACCGGCTTCTGGGTCTAATTTCAAGAGCAATTCAAAGAGTTAATTTCATTTGTTAAAAATAAAAATTTCAAACATTACACAAATCAAAATAATAAATAAAAATAAAAGAAAAACAAGTAGGCTTCAGGGCTTCACCTTCTTTTTTCTGCTATAAAGGTGTTGCCGTCGAATCGCTAGTGAAAATGTGGATTCGAAGGTGTCTGCCTACTGCCATCTAGGGTTCGAAAATAGGGGTGGATCCGCAACAGATTCCGTGATTGGAGGAGATTGAATGGCCGAGATTAAAAAGTCCGACTGTGTAGTGTCGTTCTTCTGTGTGACTGTGTCCATTAATGAATCGTCCCAGAGCCAGAAGTCGAATAGCGGAGCCGAGAGGAGGAGGTTGTAATGGTCGATTGATTCTCCAACCAAAACCCAGCAATTCCACAATTCAAAACAGAAAAATTACTTCACAATAAGCAAATTCAGCTCTGAATCCACACTCAAATTGCATTGGTATTACACTGAATTGTTTAATTGAAATGTAGTTGAACAGAAAGGAGGTGAGAGGGAGAGAATTACAGAGAAGATGGCGAAGAAAACGAATTCTGACACTTAACAAGCTCACCCCCTGCTCCTCTGGTTTAAGTAATGTAAAAAAACATGTTTTGTAATCTATAAAACGTAATAAGCTAAAACAATTAAATGAAAGGCTAAACGGCATCTGAATTGTTGCTGCGTCTTCCCACATCGCATCTTCTTTGGAGGCATTTGCCCATTGGACCAACCATTGAGTGATAGCTTGTTTATTCCTTTTAATGATCCGGGTCAGCAATACTGTCTGGGGTCTGCCATGTTGCTGTTCTGATTCTCTGGCATCAGGAATAAGTAGAATAGGTACCTCTCTGTCACCAATCTTCTTCTTAAGTAGTGAGACGTGAAAAACAGGGTGAATTTTAGAACCAGCAGGGAGTTCTAATTCATAAGCTACCTGACCAATCCTCCTGATAATTTGGTAAGACCCATAGTATTTGGCAGATAATTTGAGGTTGATTCGAGTAGCAAGGGATTGCTGTTTATATGGTTGGAGATTCAAATACACCCAGTCCCCCGTCTGAAATTCCCTCTCAATTCTGTGTTGGTCAGCGTAGAATTTCATCCTTGCCCTAGCTTCAGCCAAGTTTCCCTTGAGTAATTGGTCCATACGGTGTCTCTCTTGTACCAATTCATCTACAGCTGCAATGTTTGTGAGTAATATTATTTTATTTGGAGAATGTGTGGTTGAAATGAAGAAAAAGAAAAAAAATGAGAATGAGAATGGGTGTCAAACAATGCCTAAATAACTCTATCGAATAAATCTCAATCAACTTAACTAAACTTTATCATTGACTTGATAAAAAAATAATAACAGAAATTATGCAAATAGGCTAAGATATATTTTGGCCAGTTATTGCCTACTTCATAGATTTCTCCCAGTAATGACCTCTCTATATTTCACACTATATCAAGAACACAGTTGCTCAGCCTGTCTCGGAGAATGGCAGTAGGAAAATTATTGTCTCCGTCTGCCACAATTTTCATAATTCTTTCAGTGCTGGCACTGATGATGAGCAAATGTGCAGGTACATCTCATTCTCATTCGCATGTCCCTGCACCTGCGCATTCAGCTGGAGACATCTCCTGAATCTGGAAACAGTCTTCACTCTGCTACTGCTGAAGTTTCTCCTAATTTCTTTGTCTCGATTCTAGTACTAGCTGCCATGATACCCTCTTGTCTCTCTTTCATGTACTAGGTTTCTCTTCTTCTTTTGGTCTGTTGTCACCTTATCTTGTGTGTGTTCCTTTGTCATTTTTATAGCTTTCGTGTCTGAAGATTACTTGGAGATTATTGTGGCACCTGTATATCTTTATTGAGTAATTGCTTTACTTGTGTAATATTTCTGATCAATAAAATTTACTGCATCATTACTTATGGCTACAATGATCGATCATTCTGCATCCATTTTGGTTCCTAGTCTTTTCGAAGAAATCGCAGTCTCTAGCAATTTCTGCATGTTCATCAAGAAGCTAACATTTGACTTCAATGCATGTTGATGGTCAATAGCACCAAACGGAACCTTAATGGTGCGCATACAATTGACAAATTTTATTATGTACTTCTTCACTATAATCCTGTACAGCATTTCAAAAATGTCACATACGTAGATAGTTTAAAATTCAACATTCCTTTTTATAGTCCATGTTTTTGTCGACCAAAAAAAAAAAAATTCTAAAGAGTGGTTATTTTCTCCAAAGTAATCATCTTATTTGTTAATGAATGGAACCACTGGAAAATGACGTCAATTTGAGTTTAGTTCTTGAGTTCGAACGTTGAAAGTAAGGTCAATGAGGGTTTTGGTCATGATCAAATCCGTCCTGTCCGACCATATGGGTTCAGACAGTTGCATATCTGGAGTCCTAAAATGAGAAGAATACTAAACTAACAAGAATCCTAAATAGATTACTAAAATAAGATCAAGAATAAGATATACAATAAGGTAAAACTAATCCTATTTATCTTTGATGACTTTGGTGTAATTTAAATCAAATAGGTTTTTCGAAAGTTAGTTCCAAAAAGAGCTCCATTCTAGGTTTTTATGAACTACCTGCGAAGGCAGCTTTCTTTGTTCTATCAAAATGGTTCGGTTACTGCTTCTTATATTAGTGATAACTTTATTTTTTATTTATTTAATCTGGATGTTAAAGTGCGGTCGAGGGGCACAGATGAGTCCTTCTTCATTGTTTGTAGCTGAGAATGATTGAAACTGCTGAAGAAGGTGTTTATTTGTGATTTACTACAGATGATAATTTTATTCAGTTTGTCATAAGGGATGCGTGATATTTATTTATTTTATTTTTACTGATAGTGATTCCATGCTATGATCAACTCCGCAAAGAACTTGCTTGTGATGTAAGAACAAACATTACTCGTGTATCATCAATGTTCGTCGTTAATGTTTTGATGTTATTAATCTCTGATTTTGAGATGATTAATATGGCAGATTTGTTGGGAGATATGTTTTGAGCCCACCACAACATCTTGTGGACACAGGTGAAGTAAAATTGATTGTATATTTCTATTAGGCTGCACTCGATAGGATAAAAGAAGTTAAAATTTTGTCTATTGTGCACAGTTTTTGTAAAAGTTGCTTGTGTCAAGCTGCTGATAGAATGGGGAATCTATGCCCAAAGTGTAGACAAGAGATCAGGTATGTACAACATTTAAGCTTGGCAAATTACCCATGTGAATTCATCTTAGCCTTGATGTGTGTGTTAATCGATTTTTATATTCTATCGTTTGGCAGCAACAGGAGATCTTACAGGGTGAACATTGTACTTTGGAACACTATTCAGCTGATATTTCCCGAAGAAGTTGAAGCAAGGAAAGTGGCTGCTGCGCGTAAAATTTCTTTAGGCATTATGTTTCATGACGTGATAAACCAAATATTTCAGGCCATATTTTGTCCAGCGTATGAAACCCACAACGTTGTAGAGAGAAGCTGAGAAGGCCACGGCGTAATTATAGAACCCAGAATCTCTACTCACGTGGGACCTAGTTGATGAGACAGGATGAAAATGCTGCATTGAAGAATACGTGGAAGATAAAATTATAGATAAGATTTTAGCGTCATTTTTTCGTTCATTTTATCAACTAGTTTGAATGTTTTGGTTATCTTGTGCAGTCAGTTCATATTAGAAAAATGTGCACAAAGTCATTGACAGTAACTGGGTGGAATTTTTCTCGGTGCCTGGTTTATATATAGTTGTATCGTAATGATAACGACACCTTAACATTTAGAGTCCGTTTGATTGCAAATGTAAAAAATGGGTGGAAAGAAAATATTTTATAGGGAACTGAATTGCCTAGAAAATGTTTTATTGAGAATTGTAATTAATTGTGTTTAATTGGTATAATTTTCCACTTGAAAAATGTTGAAAGTTTGGTGTCCGTTTGGTTTCCTTTTTTATGAAAATTATCCATTAAAGTGATAGTTTTTTCTACCATTGGGTCTAGAATTTATTCTAATTGCAAAAAAAAAAAATTTAAAAAATTATCATATCGAATACCATTCGTTTAGATTTGTTTTGCATGAAAATTGTCAATAAAAGTGATAAAAAAATTTTATCATTGTATCTATAATTTTTTCTAATTGTAAAAATAATAATAATAATAATAAATTTAAAAAAAAAAAACAGATTACTTGGAAAACCATTTTCCCACCTATTAGGTTGGAAAATGAATGAATTCAAGGAAATTGTCACTGTGTAAGTCAAAGTGGGAAAATGGATTCCCTAGAAAAAAACCAATCAAACACATGAAAAGTGGGAAAATGGAAAATGGTGGCTATCAAACACACCCTTAGTGACTCCTCTTAAACACGAGTCTGAATTATTAGATCACTCTGTTGAAAAAATCTCAATCAACCCTATAGCGGAATTGATCTTTGATTTGTGGAAACCGAGCTCAGTTTATCAATCTAACTAAAATCGACCACCTCAATTAACGACCCAAGAACCACAACCATTTTCCCAAACTTCGGTTGCTATGATTGCACCCATAAAGGACACAAAGTGATTGTGTTATTACAGCCACAAAGGCATCCACTCAAGCAACCACAAAGGCATTAACTCAAGCAGCCACAAAGGCAAAAGGAAGAAGAAAAATCGAATGAAAGAGACAATGGAATAAGCAATCGGTTCCTCTGTTTTGAGGAAATGAACATTTGTGAACATCACAAAAATGGACAGCAAATATATAGGGTACATTAGGTGTAGAGAGAAAAAGGTCAAGTCCAAATCAATACTTGGACCAACACTTATAAGCCATTCAAGAAGTGAGGAAATGGGTCACGAGCAACTCTAACTAAATTAGGCTACCTCCAATAGCCCAAATAGTTTAGGTTTGGGTCATTCCATTGAGGTGTCAATATTTCAATTTATCAAACATTGGTTTAACATCATCTCCGAGGATTTACTGGGTATCAAAATCCAACAAACCCAACTGAACTTCATACATTTCCCCCAGTAATGACCTCTCTATATTTCACTCTATATCAAGCGCACAGTTACCCAGCCTGTCTCGGAGAATGGCAGTCGGAAAATTATTGTCTCCGTCTGCCACATTTATCATAATTCTTGCTGGCACTGATGATGAGCATATCTGAAGGCACATCGCATTCTCATTCGCATGTAGCCGCGCCTTCACCTGGAGACATCTGAATCTGGAAACCGCCTTCCCTCTGCTGCTGCTGAAGTTTCTCCAGACTTCGTCGTCTTGATTCTAGTACTGACTTCCCTGATACCACTTCTCTCTTTCTCGAACTAGTTCTCTCTTTTTCTGTGGTCTGTTGTCACCTTATTTTGTGTGCTCTGTCATCATTATAGCTTTTGTTTCTGAAGATCACATTTGGAGATTATTGTTAAATAACTTTCTTTCTTGTGTAATAATTCTGATCGATAAAATTTGCCTCATTACTTCTCAATTATGGCTACATTGATCATTCTGCAACAATTTTTGTTCCTCATATGGAGGTACTGCGTATAATAAGGTTTTAACCCTTTCAGTTTATTCACTGAAAATATCGAATATAAAAAATGATTGGGGGGGAATTTCTTTGATATTACATTATGATGACAAATATTACAATATGCAAAATTGTAGACAAATATTACAATATGCAAAATTTCGCCTCACAAACTCCACTAGAAAACTAATCCCATGCAAGATACCAATCTTCCACGAAGAATCAACAAAAAAGGACAGACCCTGTATCCATCAATAGACGAACATAGGATGGCATGTTACAAACCCCAAACCAGTGATCCTTCAATCGTGGAGACATACCGGGCATTTTTGGTACACAGTATTAGACAACACTATACATTACACTGGACTAAATTTTAACTTATATTTCCTCCTTAATCCTGTCCAATGATGTCGCCTCCTAACGTACAAAACATGCTAAAAATGCAAGTGCTGCTGTCAGGATTTCATATATGTAACTCAGTATGAGAACTCGTGACCTCTTAGTGAAATATGTTTCTTAACCCAAATGGCAATGTCTTCAGCACAAGCCTGGGCCTGAGGGGTCTTAAGAAGCATGTCTAGAGTTGCAAATTCATGAACTGCGTCCTTGTACTCGAGAACAGGTGCATCCACGTTTACCTTCCGAAGCTCCTCTGAGTAGGCAATGGCTCGATCTCTCATCAAGTCGTGCTCAGCCACCACTGTCAGCGTTGGTGGCATCTTCTTCAAAGGTGGTCCTCTCTCTGGAACAAGAGGGTTGGCTACAAGGTGATCCAGGCTGAACTCCTCCTCTGGTAAGAGAAGTTTCCATGCAAGTACGCACATAGCCTTGTCAAAGAAATAGGAATTTGCCAGTTTTATCTCAGAATGTGTAGGCACACTTCCAATGAAAAAAGGATACATCAAAACCTGGGCCACCACCTTTACTGGGTCCAAAAGCTTACCAGCCTCAACAGATTTACGTGCAACATAGTCAGCAATATTCCCTCCACAACTCACCCCAAGAAGTACACATCTGTTCAATGTCACTTAAAGTTAGGAATTGAAATAAAAAGGTTTTTGGACACAAGAAAATTAAAAGCATATATAATTAAATATACAAGTCACAAAGTGCAGGCATAGCTAACTTCGGACCCAGGGTGTTCTTAATTTAGGACATTCTCATGTTCAAAAGAGTGGCATAGGCTAGAGTGGAGAGAAAGACATCTAAGAATGGGGAGGCTGTATGTACATTCTCAACCATTCATAACATGAAAGCTACGCTATTACCAATTCACCCACTTTAGCACAAATGTTTAGGAGAACATCGTGAGATAATTTGACAGCAGTCAGAGTGACTTGATTAACCTACCAAAGCAGAGAAGCCAATCAGATGCATCATTCGTGAATATTCAGGGTTTAACTTGAATATTATTTTCCCTATTTTAAATATTTCTTCCTTTTTTCATTTTTATACCAAGCATTTAGCTTTTCGTTGAAAATATTTACTCTCTGATGCTGAGATCCCAAATCTAAAATATGAAGCATATATAAAATATACAAGCCATGCCAATTGGGCCAAGTGGCAATAGTTATTAGAAAAAAATTGCAAGTATTGAAATCCATAAGGTGACAGAAATTACAATGAGTTGCAAGATGGAAATTTACTTGAGAACTATGCAAACCAAGCACTAAAGTCCATTTATCAGGTGATTAAAGCTCTCGTTGTAATCACATTTAAGACTAAACAATGGCTGTTGAACAAAGACGTTAAAGCAGGAAAGCAAAGAGCCATATCAGAAATTGGCACCAAATTTACAAAAAGATTATAAAAGGACAAATATATTCCCTTAGAAGCATTATCTTAAATCTAGTCAAACAAGAGGCTAAAAACTACCCTGCATGCCTACATAATCAAACTCAAATTATATGCCTTAGTTCATGCCACTTAATCCTCATCTAATCTTCAGATTTATGTGCAAGTATATAACCACAAAAAAAAAAAAAAGTAACAAGAATAAATCAAAAGGTCGATTCTGTTCTCCGGATCATAGTCAACAGACAAAAATATCAACAAGTTGCAGGCGATTCACTGTAACCAAACAAAAAATCAGAGAGAAATAGATAATACATTACACCTAAACATAGCAGTCAAGCATATATAACTCCCAAAAGTTCAAAAGTTTTGGATAAAATTCACGAATGTACATCCTACAAATCTTTCGTAAATATTTGCTGGTTTCTATTTGATTTTATGATAGAAAGACTAACCACCACAAGAATAAAAGTAGAAACTCCAGCAAAAAGAATAATCAGTTGTTCAACTTCTTCATCCTTAAGCTTGAGCTAGACATGTCAATCACTCTGCCAAACATTAACTCTTAACCAAATGTAAACTATGCATTTGATTAGTTTTCAACCCTTTTCCCATACTATAGCTACGTAAGCAATCCAATAAGTCAAATTCATATTCTTCTATTATTCTATTTCAAATGGCTGCCGATTACATCAGTCAAATTTATTCATTCAAAAGGAAACCAAGTGAAGACTAGAATTTTTACCACTCGCAACTTAGAACTAACAACCCAGATCAAATCCTTAATAAGCTCATTTATATTATCAAATATGGTAACAATATTAAGGAATAACCATAAGAGAAGCCACATGGATTCAAACCTAACCTTGATGGATCTCCATGAGCAGCCAACCAAGGCTCCAACATTGAAGCTCCAAAGGCATCGGCAATATGCCGATGACCATCCAACTTCCTCACATCTAGCCCCCCACCCAAGGTACTCCCCAAGGATTTACTACATTCTGCCAAATTGGCCTGCTTTGCCAGCCAATGCAGCACCTTCAACCCATCTTCAAATGCCGCTGGGTATTTATTCTCTGGTGCCAATCTATACCCCACGGCCAACACGATCACATCACACAACTTTGCAATCCGTCGACAGAAAAAATCATTAGCCACTGAATCGTTGCTCCCACTCACAAATCCACCACCGTGAAACTGCAGCATCACCGGCAGTTTTCGACAATTATTCCCCATCGGATTATACCCTCTGTAAATTCCATTCTCCGGTTTAAAACTCCCATCATCAATACTACACCCGTAGCTATTCCTCCTAAAACTATCATGATTCTGAGCACGCTTCACAATTACACCGCTGCTGCTAGAAACGGAGCTATTCAACGACCCATAGCTGTTGCGGCGGAGCAGGATTTGGTTCGGATCGGATCCAGAATTCAAGACCGTCGACCGAGACCTGGAGACCGCTTCGGGCGAATTGAAGCAGGTATCCGGAAGAAAAATTCGGATTGACAAAGACGTTATAGGATCGATATGGATATCCTTCGTGGCAACGCCATCAGTAAACGAAGGATTCACAGCAGCGGCCGTCTCCTCCTCCGGCCTTGACGTTACTCCGAAGGAGCTCCCTCCGCCGCCGCCGGTGTCGTTTTCCGGCGCCTGCAATCGGCTTTGCAACCGATGTTTTAGCATGAATTTGAAGAAAACACTGTATAATTTCACACCAATGCTCGGCATTTCCGATAAACATAAAAAAAATAAATCAAATATCTATATATACACACACACAAAAGGCTACCCCCCACCCCCTTTCTCTGTGTTTGTACATATGGCTCTCAATCTTCCTCTATATTTTATGTGAATTGTTTAGAGAGTAAAGATGATCAATATATAGGGGGGTTTAAATATTTATTTGCATGAGATAATTAGGGTTTCGATGTTGGGGAAAATTGAAGCGCTTTGTCATTTTTGTTTGTTCTTACGGTGTCGTATCAGGTACCACGCGTGACGTGATGCCATCCGACCCATAATCAGAAAAGTGCGTAGGTTTGGATCCGGTGTAGTTGGTTGTAGCGTGTTGAGTGAACTGATCCAATAATTTGATTGGACGAGAAGTATCAAGAAAGACATGACGTACAACTGTGGAAAAGGTGAAAACATTAGGGAGAGGGAGTTGATGTGTGCAGGAGAATAGAGATGATGCTGGCTGCTAGGTGGATTAGTTGGCAGGTTGTCATAGAAATTGAAAGTAAACATCAATTAAGGCCAATAATTATTGCTTAAATATGGAGGAAAAATTTAAGGGGTAATAAAAGAAACACTATATTGTTCTTTTTCTTTATTCTCTCGAAATGGATGGGTCGAGGAGGGTTTTAAGAATATCGAGCACTGCATACTAAACAAAACAAAGTAAGTTTAAGGTATAATTCATGATTCTCAGACATTATGACAATAAACACATGTATAATCAAGTAACAGAGTATACAAATGAAACACAAAGTTCATATAGATACTTGCAAAATGGAAATCTTAATCAACATCATCATTCTAAGAGCTAACACTAAAAAAAAAAGGCCAATAGCATGTAAAAGTGCATTGCAGACCCTAAAACCTCTTCTTGTTTCCCACCAATTCTATATTTACAGTCCTCCATTCCCCATACAGCAGAGTCCTTCACCCTTCACGAACTGATGGGCCAAAAATCGGGAAGCATAAGAAGGTGAGAAATGTAGAAAATGTTGGAAGTTCCCGCTTTGTATTTCCACCTCCATCCATAGTTTCTAACCGGATTGTGTGTTGGTATTAAATTTGCTAGGGACGAGCACTGGTTCGTTGCTGGCAGCTTTCATTGCAGCAATTTCTTCCAATCGCCTCCATGTTGCTTCACGCTTTGTCTCCATTTCTTTTTCTCTTGCTTCGTCTTCTTGGAACTTGAGCAAACACTCCTCAAACAGCTCGGTATCGACATCAGAGAAGATTTTCCGAACATTTAGCGTCAAACTCCGCACTGCCTGGTTCCAGTGGTTTGTTGCATTCCTCTCCAGGGCAGGAAAGATAATTGGCAGTATAACTTTACGGTTTTGTTTGATTAGGTTCTCGATATGGTCGTTGTTCCATAAAAACAAAGCCCTCTCCGCCACCTGTAGAAACAAGGGCTATTACATGATGAACAGTAAAAATGAAATGGCTCAACTAAAAATTCAAACCTCCATCAACCCAAGTCAGATCTAGTAAGGAAAGGGACAAGAAGAGGGAAAACAAGATTAACAGATTAAAATCGAGTTGAGCTATAAGTACAGGGAATTTTTTTTTTACCGAATTTTTACAGATTTTTGAAATCAACGGTGCAGATTCAAATTTTGCGAAAAAATAAAAAAATACAGATGGACAGGATGCTGCCACAGCAGCAGCCTGTAACATTTCTGGGAAAATTCCCTGTACTTAGGGAATTTTCCGATTAAAATCCATTGATGACAATTTGTCCCAATAGATAAATCCATCCAACCAAAGGTTCTCAATATGTCACTAGAGTAACAAAGACTAGGCAAGCTATCAAGAATATTAATCCTATGGACTTGTACACGTCGTACAATTGTAAAGATTTTAGTTTATCTCCTCCTATAATAATCCCATTTACCGAACATGCCATTAAATTGGAATTGTGCACAATGCCAATGAATGAATCCTACAAATTTTGACATCCAGATTCAGCACAAAACCCCTACACATGGAGCAATCTCACGCGTCATAGAGCAATGAAACTAAAGAAAAAAAACTTAGGATACTAAGACCATTTGACAACCATACTTTTAAAACTATTTTTTTTTTTCATACTCATTTTCAACCACACGTTCTCACAATAAAATATTCTTCATGTAAACCCAAAACTTTTTCTTGCTTTTTAACAAAACATTCTCCAAAAATTTACCACTCAAAAACTCATTCTGCACAAAAAAAGCCTGTCAAACAGGGGCTACACATACAAAATGTGAATGTTATTACCTTCATATAAACCATCTCCTAAACAATGCGTGAAAATATATTGTAGGCGAAGAAGAATTCAATTATGATTTAACTATATAAAGGTGATGAATACAAAAGTTCCAAATAGAATGCAGCGGGATTGGGGATTGATGTTAGGAAAATGAACCCTCTTCCTAGAGCGCATCTTTGTATTTTTATGAACTAAAGCACAGTTAATAAAAAGATAGTATGTGTATTTCTACATGAAAGATTGTCCATGAAGTGTAAAATATAGCCCCTGTTTGGTAGAGATGAAAATTAGATTTTTATTAGATTTTATAAAAGTTGATGAAATGTGTGGTTGAAAAGTTGTGAGACTCATGAAATATGCGGTTAAAATTGATTGTTGACTTTGACGTACATTAAAATCTAGATTTTAATCGGTACCAAACAAAGACATAGTATTGTAAACTAAAACCCCTCTTCCACAATTCACTCGTGTATTAATACTATGCCTATGTTTGAGCTCCATTCTCTATAAAATCATTTTTTTCCCAAACTCATTTTGAACCACACTCTCAATAAAATAATTTTACATGTAAACTCAAAACTTTACCCTACTTTTTAACCATACATTTCAAGGAAATAAAAAGGGGTACTATGACAAAACTCATTTTCCCCAAAAATGGGGTACAAACAAAGGCTATATCTTCAAGCAACCTGAAAATAAAAGGCCTTATCAGAATTAAATAGTAAAAAAAAACGCAAAACTTGAAAATGAAGCAGAACCAAAGTTCACACACAGAGGATGCATTTCCACCGAGAGTATTAAAAGATTTTGAAATTCATAATAACGAAAGGAAAACTAATTTTCTTTATTTGATTCGTACACTTAGTTCCAAGTGTAACGATCCAAACCTTGTGTCCAAGCCGTTGGTACCAGGATTCAACTTAAATTTCTCATTAGATGAAGCTCTGGGATTCGAAACCTAAGGGAAACGACAGAAAGTCATGATAGATAAGAGAGCAAAAGTCTTCTCAAAGTGGACAGTAAGTATAATATAACGACTTGACGACTTGGGCAAGAGGTAACACGCATTTTTTTGTAACGATCCGGGCCTCGTGCTCAAGCCATTCTTTACGTATTGTCCACTTTGAGAAAGTCTGAGTCCCTTACCCTTCACAAATTTTGTCGCGTCTTCCAAGATTCGAACCCAGGACATCTTCCTTAAGAGAGACTAAGCTAATTCATGAGTTTAAATCTTGGGAGACGCGGCAGAAATCCATTAAGAGTAAGATGGGCTCAGACTCTCCCAAAACGGACAATACTTATGATATAATGACCTGGGCACAAGGGTCGAACAATTACAATAAGCAACCAACCAAAATGGTTAAAGGTAGCAAGCAATAAACGACGTATGGGTCAAAAATGATAAAATGATTTTGGGCGTGTTCGGTCGTGCTTAAAATCCAATTAAAATTGAAAATATATTGAGTCTCACTCATCTAATAAAAGTCAACAATAACGGCTAGTTTTTCAATTGTAATCCTATTTTAATCTCTACCGAACACGCCCTTTGTATGTTTTTCCTCGCACTGCAAGTACAGACTATAGAAAGGAGAATAAAGACAATCCAATAACTTGTTAAAGGAAATTAAGCAGATTTTAAGGTATTGCAAGGACTTTGGACAGACATGACAAGGGATGTGTATAGTTGAAGACAAAACTTAAATAAAAAAACTTGTCCCTCTCTATCAGATTAATCTTACATGGTTTAACATTATATCAAAGAACATGAAGGTTTTAAATTCAAGTCCCACCATCACAAGGTTATAAAAATTGTGCATGTATCAATCCTTCGATGAAATTTAATCTAGCTTACATGTGAGGGATGTGTTAAATTAATTTCTCCCCTCTAGTAGCTTAAGCTTCTAGATTAGGTAGTTCCCTATGTATTCATTATATTATTTCAATCTATTATGTTTAGCTAACAAATAATATTGGAACCAACATATTTTCATTCTCTTCGCTTGTAACCGAGATCAAGGGATTATTCTTTTCAGCAGTGACAATGACAATTACAGGATTATTCAAATTCGAGAAAAAGGAAGGATTTATATCTCTTTAATGGCCATATTTTCTGGCGATTAGGAAATATATATCCGTAATTAAGGAACTATTCTTTTCAGCAGCAAAAGTAATGGATTATTCCAATTCACCACAAAGGAAGATTGATGAATTTAACAATCCTTTTAGTGGGGGTATTTAATAATTATTTTTCTCAAGAAATGGATTATTCTAATTTTTTCAGCCATTTCTTGAGAAAAAATTATTTATCCTTTTAGTGGGGGTATTTTCAGCTATTCCTTGAGAAAAATTATTTTTTAATATATATACACAGCAATTGTTATATCTTTTCTTTCTATTCATCTTTGGTTGCAGCACACGAGTTATTGAAATGCCTAGCAATAATTGGTTGCCTAGTCCATTACCTAAGCAAAAGAAAATAGTGACATAGAAATGCAAATAAAAACATATTTCCACATATTACACTCTCAATCTCTATTACAAATTTCACATATTTCCCCTTTGTTCATTTAGTACATATATTTCTTATACAGCTAATACAGCAAGCACCGTAAGGACTCACAAGGATAAAGGGCAGAAAATTGGGAAATTCACAAGGAATAAGGTTACTAATTCGTGTGCTTTCTTAGATACCTAATCACGTGCTTTTCCTAAATCAATATAATTCTAAATCGTATAGAAATCA